CTTGGATCAGGTTGAGGAGAGCTCGGCGTGGAGAGAGAGGAATGGGACGTTTGTGGAAAGTGTGAGAGAGCAAAGCGGACGCAAGATGACGGAGACTGGGGCCTAGAGATGTCATTACTGGTATCATCTTCGGATTCTGGCGTCACGGTCTGGTTTTCTGTTATTTTTGAGTTAGGCATATAAAAGAAACTGCACATAGCCCCAGACATTATACGGCTCTCAAAAAGCTTGGAAATTGATGTGCTTCGACGCATTTGGCTGTGGCTTTATTTTGATATCCAGTTGCTGTATTTTTCTGTCATCAGCCTCCAGGGTCAGCCGCTAATGACCTTGGACATCAGTGATAGAAGAAGTCACCTTCACTTACAATTTGAGGTTTCCAGGCTCGTTATAAACACGATTTGGAGCTAAGCGTCGCTGCCACTGGTCCCTTCCCAATTACTTGCTACTTATATGCAGCGTCTGAGTCTACCTGCCACTACATAAACCAACGTCACTTACACTTTCAAACTTTCTCTTTCCATTCAGCAAGTACACCTCATAGGGTCTAGCGAGACTAAGTGTTCCGACCGTTCTATTCCCAGTCGGCCCCTCTCCTCCGAAGTTCGCACACGTTTCTAGTCATCCCTCGCTTATCAATATATACCATATTGCTCAAAAGCACCAACAGCCATTCGCGAAATAAGTTTACTTCCAGTCTTAATCTCTTTGGGCAGTTTCGAATTGTGGGGGGGTCGATATCGTAGGAAAGAATCCCGCCGAAAACAATACCATCTCACCTATCCTATCCATTGTAAGACTTGCCGTCTTTACTGTAGGCACCTTTTCTGACCTTTCATGGCAGCCATTCTTTGACAATATGACGAAAATCGGCGGAGTACGTTCTTGGAGGGTAGCCAATTAGAACAGGACTCCCTTCGTGCTGCTGAGACGTTATAACGAGTTCACCTATATCTACGTTAACGTGGTCTTGTGGAGACGCGAAGCCGGGCGGCAGAGTTCTGTACTGTTTGTGCAGATGCCCTACAGAGCCGCTCAACACCCTGGAGGTCGTAGACACCGTATAGTTGAGACAGAAGACCATTGGCATCTCCCAGGGATACAATGCACCTCGAGGAATGGCAATCTCTTTGACACAGTTTGGGGCGAGATCTACCAGCATCTGTATGAACTCCTGTCCCAGCGCGCGGCTTCGCGCTATTGCCACTGGCTAGGTAGCTGACTAGTAGTGGATGACAGGGGCTTGAAAATCACGAAATGGAAAAAGTTGCTGGCCAAGGAGATAGTTACCATCGACGACATAGACGCTCAACAAAAGAACGTCCTCGTCCTAACGTTTGTCGCCGACTACGAGGAGAAGGAATTGGAGATTGACAAGGAGCGATATAACAATCACGTCTGGGCGTTGCGAGAAGACTTTGACGAAGGCTATTTCCGTAGGCGATCCGATGTCGTGATTGACGCGCTGAAGAAGGCTTTTCGGTGGAAACATGTCATGTCGAAGGTTTTCGTGCCGCCGGTCCGTCATGGTTAAGCCACTTCCAGACGGCACCGCTTTGATTGAGTTCTACCAGGCATGGTTTTTTCAACAGTATGAGACCGTCGAACTTGTTTTGAAAGAGCTCACACGATAGACCAACAGCGGTCGTATAAGCTGCTAGCGATTTGGGTTGGATCTTATATCTTGTATTATCGACAGCGTATTCGTTTTGTCAATGTTTTAGCAGCGAACTGGAGTTGTTACCAGGTTGTTAGTGACAGGGGTCGCGTAGGTATTTCCACTGTATTTTATGTGGTATGAAATTAATTATACCCCAGATAACTAAGCCTTGTACAAAAGTGTGTGAAAGACCCAAGTGAATTTGAAGTAAGTCTGATATCATAACCTGCTCCAATTTAAGGGGCGGTCAGCAAAAGACACGGGTACTGGACACGGTATACTATTTATTGACATGACCAATTTACTCACACCAGAATCTAACATAGAAATCACTGTTGAAGCTTTTCAGGCAAACACTGTTTGAAGCCTTTTTTTATTATTTTTACTTTTTTACAGAAGACACGGAGGCCTAAGTAGTTAGTTCCATCGCTATGGGTTGGCTGCGGGCCCCTGGCATCCCGCCAAGCCGTTGCCTGTCACTTATCAGCTGGTTATAGTCTAGGTCCTACCAGGCATTGGAGAGGTACTTAGGGTCGATACACTAGACCGCCATAATTGTTAGGGCCGCCCACTCCCACTCCTAATGGCAGCTTCGGTAACCCTACAAAAGTGAACTTCAAGTTGAGCTCCTGCTTGCATATGAGCCGCTATGTGATTTACCTCTGTCCCTTTATCTCCTCCCCTTCGCCATAAGCACACTACATCCTTAGCATCCATCTACCAGAATAGTATCGTGACCTTCTGGGCCACCCAGTTGAGCTGCAGGGCAGCTCGGTTCTCTCCAGACCATTCACGTTTCCCCGCCCATTCTTCACTTCACGCATCCTGATATCGTCCGCGTCTTGGGTTTGGTCAGTCTGTGTCATGTCAAGGCTACTGACGGATAGAGAAATCGACGATGCCGCCGGAAAGCTAGCGGCATTCCGCACAAGGAGTGCCGAGGAGGACTTTCTGCAACGCTATGCAGATCTCCTGACCAGCTACAAACAGCTGAAGAGTGACTACGAAGAGGAGAAAAATGGTAGGGAGCGTTACAAACAGCTAGCGCGTAATCAAGAACGGAAGCCGTTTGTGCTGGTTATCGTCGATGGAGATGGGTATATATTCAAAGATGAATTTCTTCACCAAAGCGCTGAGGGCGGTTCGAAGGCTGCCCAGCATCTAAACAACGTAATAAAGAAGAGTCTACAAGGAAAGGGGCTTGAACATTGCGATGTGATGGTCCGCATCTACGCCAATCTTGTCAATTTATCAAAAACTCTTTCCAAGTATGGGCTCGCTACCGCAGATAAGCGCTCCTTGGCTCCCTTCGTCGCCAACTTCAACAGGTCGTACGGACTTATGGATTTTGTCGATGCGGGTGAGCTGAAGGAGAATGCCGACTTCAAGATTCGAGCTCTATTGAACCTATATGCCGAAAATCTACAGTGCAAGCACATCTATTTCGCAGCCTGCCACGACGTCGGTTACCTCTCGGAATTGACGAGGTTTAGAGGAGACCGCAACAGAGTCACGCTCCTTCGGTCGTCTGGGCTACTTTTTCACGACCAATTTCTCAAACTTGACCTGGGAATCGAGGAATTACCTGGCGTCTTCCGTACAGTACCCCTCGATGGCCCGACACTCTACACAAAGTCCAATTCAAGCGGCGACGTGATAAGGAGCAACCCCCCTACTGGACCCTCCGCCGCCAACCCAACTTACCAGGCTACCAACTTACGGGAATCCCAGAAAATCTGCCGATTCTATCAGGCTGGCAAATGCCGATATGGGGGAGACTGCAAGAATGCTCATATCGATAGTCGAATCCCACCCCCGGCCAATTCTACGAAACCTCTCTATTCGTCGCAAAGGAGTCAACAGGGCAGCTCTGACACCGAAGTAACGAACGGTTCCAGTCGGATGAAGTCATTATACAATGTCTCGCCTTATGAGCTTGACGATGTACTATCCGGTCCAATCTCGCCACTGGGGCGCGACTTGGCCTATCAACTACCAAAGAAAAGCGATATACCAGACAGTCACGTGGCCGTGAATAGACAACTACATCGGCTAGACGCATACTTGCAGCCCCCTAATTCAGCGGCCTCTGCTAGACTTAGGGAAATATCTAATATTAGAAAGCTGTGTAACAGAAAACAGTTAACGAATTCTTGTCCTAACGAGAACTGCGAATACGAACACAACCCAATCCCGGAAGAACTCCTGCCTACGCTGGAATGGCTCTCGCGTTCGCTACCTTGCCCGAAGCGAGGGGCCTGTAGGTCACACACTTGTGTTCTTGGCCATATTTGCCAGAACATGGAGTGTCAATATCGTGGCGGCAAGGCCAAGTGCAAATTGCCAGGACGTGTGCACTCGATGGATCTTACCGTAGATCATTATGAGCCCGACCCGGGTCACTCTGATTCGATCGATACGGATATCGCGACTGGCAGCCCCGGCACCCTTACGCCCTCCAACTCAAACAGTTATATGAACCAGGTTCCGAGCTATGACTCGTGGGATCTAGAGGACCACAGCGCGACATTTTGATGCGGCTATGGAGCAAGTCAGAGATCAGACGTGAACGCTCAATTACCATTTGCGAAATTCCAAGAGTCGCCCTTTTCTTAACGGATCGTGCGCGGCTGTATAATTCGACTTTCGCCAATTTACAGTTGCTAAACTCACTGAGGCAGGTCGCTCTAACTAAAAACGACCCAAGTCCCATATGCTAACATATATCATCAAAATCTGCCACTTTAAAAAACAATCAAACATCTAAATAGAAGAAGAAAAGATAGCCTTAAAGACGCAGACGTTAAATACTCATTTACTTTAATGTCATCACTTCTCTTGTCTCTCAATTGTTTGGCCGGCGCTTGACGTACTAGTGATTTTGGTGTTGTATATGGGATGGGTCGTTTCTTGTTAGACCGACGACCTGACTGCGGTATCGTGAAAAAGGCCACTATAGCACTCACTTTAGCACATTTACTCTTGTTAAACCCTCATGACTAACATCTTACTGAATCTTAGGCCATATACCTCCTCCAGGATTAGGAATGTTGGCTCGGGTACGTGGCAAGGGTCATTAACAGGGTGCGCACCCCTCCAAAAAAGGATTAAGTGTTAAAAGGCTTCAAAATAGCCTTAGATGCAGGTGGTAGCGTTGAATAGAGTTAACAGCTTTAGATAGATTTAACAGGGAGGCTGTGATAGTGTATGCAGTTCGGCTCAGTTTTGGTAACTTTATTTTCTATTCTATTTCGGGATGATAGCCCTGTCGGACGCTCTGTCATCTATAAACGGGTATAGGTTTTGGCTGGATATCCCACGGGTAATATCCCGCCACATTGGTCCCATAACTCAGTTGGTCAGAGTGTCGTACTAATACTATGATTCATTCATAAGATTGGTAATGCGAAAGTCGTGAGTTCGAGCCTCACTGGGACCACGCCTTGATGTTTTGCTGCGATGTCATTGATGACTTGATTTTTTTTCTCTTTCTTTCGCAGCTATCATTTAGGCGCGCGAAGAGGAGATATGTATTTGGTTTGTATCGCTGTTGTGCCATTTGGGAAATAAACTTTTTGCGCTGGAGCTGGTTATGTCTGCAGCCGGCAGTTAACTGACTTGCCATCGTATGATGGAGTTTACAAGCATTATGTATAATGGGTTTGCATTGCTATTCTGATCGGCGATGATTGGTAGATAGATGTTGTTTACTGGTACGATTCTATGTGCATTCTAAGGCTGCTGTAAATTCGCTGCACGGAATAGTCTGAGATGAAACGAGAACCCAGTAAGAAGCGCGCGATTGAAGGCGACGTTGGCATGATGAGAGCGGCAAGTGGACGTGCAATCAGGTCTTTTGGCAATTCTTGAATTGCTATTGTTGGTATTATGGTCTCTGTAACTGCAAGGGCAGTGATATGGGAGGTTCAGCTGAATAATCCAAACTGTGCTGAGACTGCTATGGCTTGAATACTAACTCTAGCTTAGGGCTGCGAAGGAGCCATTCCAATAATACCATCACTAGAGTGAGAAGTCGTGCGACAATGCTTACATGCCGCCGTTTTATGGTTGACGTGTACGGTTACCTCATGGGTATATGTTGATTAGGTGACGTGGCATGTGCTCTGTCCTATGTCGCTGTATTTGGTTTGTCTGAGCTATTATTGGCGTTTAGAAGTGTAGCATTCATGTTCTCCTTCAGTTTTCGCAGTCGATTGATCAACTTCTTGTTCTCTAAAGCTCGCGTTGCGGCCTTCTCGCCCGCTTCTTTTTTTGATAGACCGCTTCCATATCCAAGGCTGAGATTTGTCTCGCCAAAGCCGTTGTAGTATACCCCTACGGTAAACATAGGTAGCTTGCTGTTCTTATCTTTCTTCGGTTGTCCCTCATCTTGGTAAGAAATGCGAACCCCCTTCGTTCCAATCACCTGGGATAAGACTTCCTTGGAGCGACTGCCAGAGACAGGGTGTGCCGAACTACTATTAGAGTATCCCTGAGTAACGGGCTTCTTGTATTCATTACGAATCTCTTGCTTGAGAACAGTGGCCCAGACTGGCTTTATCCATGCGAGAACGCGCGGAAGGCCGTCAGCATCGCCCAGAATAGCCGCGGCAACATAGGCTTCCAAGAGATCGCCGAGAATTTTTTTCCTCTCCTTTACCGACGCCGACGTCCCAGCCCCACTCTGAGAAGGCCTACCTCCGGGCTGAAATTCAGTGGGGAGTCGAGCCGCTTTTTCGATGTTGTATCGTCGAGTAAACTCGGACAATGTCTCGTTCTTTATGAGACGTTCACGAAGTTGTGAGCAACGTCCTGCAGGTAGGTTGGGAAAGGTCTGATAGATAAATGAGGATGAGACGAGATACAGATATGCATCGCCAATCCATTCAAGCCGCTCATAGTCCATCTCGCCAAGGCCTCTCGCTACGCCAGAGTGAGTCCGGGCTGCCTTTTCGAGAACAGGGTTCAGTACAGGAGGCAGCGGTGGTAGCACATCTGAATCGGGAACATCTTGAGGAGTCCATTTTGTGAGTAGTGCTGGATGCGGAATGGGCAATCCCAACTGCTGATGGTCATTTGAAGATTCCTGATGCTGGTCGCCCACTTTCTGGATCTTGCGCGTACTTTCAGATGTTTCGCTCACGCTGGCGGTCTATTCAGAGAGATTAGATATATGACTTGTAATCTGAGTAAGTTCTTGAGTCATCGTACCTCATCTTGTAGCAATGCATGCGCCGCAGGATGAATCTGAGCGTTATGTTGTTTGAGTGTCAAGAGGATCTTCTCATGTGATGGCGATTCATTGTATTTCCCCAGTCGCTCAAGGTCCTGCTTGAGAGATTGCGCAGCTTTCAGTAAGTTGTCTGCATGATCTAACACTGAAAGATAGCGAGAACTCGACGCTATTGTTGAAAACTCCTCAAAAGACCGCTTGGACATGATGATATATGCTTGGTTCTTGCTCACAATATGTGTTAAGCAAAAACGAAACATCATTTACTATTGGCTTCCAGATGTAAGACACTACCATGTACCTAGGTACGCTAATGCAGAATTGTGGGGATCTGCGCAGGGGTAGTGACGGTAGAGCACAGACCATGTGTGCAGACCAGCTGCCGACTTCAAACTTTCGTCTTGTCTTTGGGGAGTTTGGACGCTTGCGAGAAAGCTGGCCAACACGATTATTGAGAACACATACGCCGAGCCATCTATTTGCCAAGATGGCGGCTGTACCCAAGGCACGGCTTCTGGACCTGATGAAGGCAAGAAAATACCTCTGTCCGCGAGACACGGCGCCGATAGCTAACGTCGCGACCAGGTCCAGTGTCAAATCTTCTCAACAACCTACAACCCCGACGGCATACGGATGGGCAATAAGATTCTTCGGCAGAGACTCCGAGGCCCGTCCCTAGCGAAATATTATCCTCCTAGAGGACCCACGATCAATACATTAGAAAAGGAATTCAGGAGTTTGGGACTGGAGACATTAAATGAGGAGGAGGAAGATCGACAGGAACACTTGGCAGGGCAAGTTGCTTGTGTACTTCTGTTACACGTCGCATGCCAAATGCTGACCTTTTTTCTAGTCGGAGACAACGTGGAAAGGGTGCGCCGAAGAAGAAGCGCACTGCGCCAGGTACGCTCCTCCTTTAAGTATATCCCTCCCGCAGTGCTGGATACTAACACTGCCGTGAAGAGCAAAAAGAGAAGAAAGGAAAGAAAGACTAATGCTCTTTACAACCTGACGCTTTTATTATCGACATGTATAACAGTCACGATGTCCACGAACAATAGACAGAAAGAGTCTCGATGTGAGAATAAAGAACGGAGGTTTGGGTCATTTCTAAAAGGACACTCCGAGCCTCCTCCCGCGACCATGCCCCGGTGTTGACGCAACCTCTGTTCACCTCGACCCAACTATAACTATTCCTTGAATTCTGCAGCGACGGGCCGCGTATGGATGGGCTCACGGGACTATTGGTGATGATAATAGAATGCACCTTGAGGACAACCTCCATATGGTAGAAGAACTCGCGTGTTGCAATAGTCGACTGAAAGAAGCGGCTGAGCATTATATGCATTGCCACATACTTAACTAGATTAGTAAGGTGCTCATTTCATGTTAATTCAAGGTCCCTAAAAGCGTCAATATCGACACCAAGTGCTCGACAGTGGAGGCTAAATACTACCCCCTATTTATCACGCTGGTGCTGGTCACAAGTAACTCAAGTTTCCTCCTGCGCTTGCCTCCCATCATCTTCGCTAGCCAGCCGAAAACCGAGATATGCACGTAGCTGAAATGATTGCAGTACAAACAGCCCTAGATAATTTGGCGTTAGATATCTAGATGGGTACCTATCTTCACCCTGCATTGTCATTGTGGAACGTAGTGCTTCTTTAAAGCATTACCGCCAACGCACAACCCACACCTCTCCGGGGCTATCAGCTACAAGATTTAGGTCAGCGGGCGAGAAGCTCATTGCCTCAGGTTTAACCAGTAGCTCGCGTGTACCATGGAAATGAAGCTAGGTCGAGTTGTGCCTCCTGCGTCCTCGACTAGATCTTAGCCAAGATGTCGCCCCGTACACGAGCGAACATTGAGTGCAAGAGATAGATGTGTCAATAAGTGTCGCTCAATTCAATGTTCGTTCTGGTAAGTGGTCAGTTGATCCGGGGAATTAGGAGAAAAGGATAAGGTAGGTAAGGTAGTCTAGCTGTAGTCTAACTACCGCAAACATGGAGATCGAACAGGAGGTCGCACGTCAGATATGTACGTTTGCATGGTAGTACCTGCCTCTCAGCTGGGAGTTCAGGTAACAGGCCAGGTAATGGTGCTACACAATAGTACACAATTATGGCCGTCTTCGCCATCGCAGTTTCCATTCAACTCTTAGCCTTAGTTTGCCTCAGCAAGGACATCACACCCACCACCTACTTAGTAGGTATGCACTCGCCACACCTGTCTACACTCCCTATTAATTTCTGCTGCACCTATCTGTCCTATGTATTCGCACCTGCATGTATGCGTATCTTCAGGCACTAGTAGGTAGGTACCTACCTCGATTCACTTGACTATCTCGGCCTTCCTGTTTCCCCTAACATCTATCACTCATCTAGCATTCTTCACACCACGCACCGCACCTGTTGTCCCTTTTCTATATTTCTTTCTCCCCCTGCATCAACCCTTCCACCGGCTCAATCAAGAGACCCTTTCTCTAGCCCATCTACTTCCACCTTCCTCCTTCCTACCTAAGTTCCGACTATTCACATTAACGAGGTACAGCGACCCCCAACAACACTCACTGCCTATTACCCTCACACGCCCACCTCCATAACTAACTGCCTCTTCGACTGCTAGGGCTGTATGACGCTCTCCGTCTCTATAATATCTGAAATTTAGCGATCTAGCAGGTGTCTACATGGGCATGCTGCCTTAGATTAGCTGTCACGCCTAACAGGTTGCAAGCCTGGTACCTCTGCCATCTACGTATGATCTTGCCAGTTCCCCAGATATTCCCAGGCGTGCAGCTACTGCCCCTTCCGCATCTATAAGGTATGCTCATGTCTCTTCTTACTATCCCAAGAGCCAGTTACCAATCTACATGATACATCCTAGGCCCTTGCCTCCGGTTAGGTAAGCTGGTACGCACATCCTTCTACTAACGTCGACTCTGTCTAGCTACCAACACCTTCTCGCACTTAATCTCGAACATTTCGGTCCCGAGGTAGCTTCCTTGCATGTATAATGTTCTGAGCTCTGTTCTGTGGAACTACAGTCACCGAGTTGTTTTGATCGTCACCTCGTCGTGGATTATCATCTTTCCGTCCTCTCATTCGAATTCCAATCCACATCTCCATCATCTAGTCACCACTTGCCACTCATTCTGGCGTCTTTCACCGCCAAAAGATCTAATCTTTGCTATCCCGGCATATCTTCAT